GACTGATGAATAGGTAAAAAAGATTAAAAAAGATCTACAGTGAAACATTTTTACAAGTATTGTTAGTTTTGTTACACACTTTCTTTTCTATATGCAAACAAACTTGTTTCTACATGCTAGTTACATGCAGAGAAAAGCTCTTTTCAGCTTTTAAAATAATATATTTAACATTAGAGGAAAATTAGAATAAGCTCAAATATTATGAGAAATAGTCCCAGTTATTGCTAATATAAAAATATTTTTTCTTTAGACTTGAAATTTTAGTTCTCGGACATTGAAAGTACTAGTTACTCACAGTAACTACTAGTTACTTGCTACTAGTTTAAGAGTAGTAACGACTAGTTATTTGCAGTAACTAGCACTTTTTTATCCTTATAATTATCTGACATATGAGTAGGAAGAAAGATAATTCAAGATCTGAAAATGAAAAAAATATATTCCGGAATTTTTTTTTCTGTAAATATACACAAACATGCTTCTATATCTTATTTACTTACAGCAAAAGAAAAATCCTCTCAACTTTTAAAATAATAGGCTTGCAAGTAGAGGAAAATTAGAATAAGCTGAAAGATAACGATAAATTACTCTAGTAATTGCTAATCTCAGAGTATTTTCTCTTTAGGCCATAAATTTCAGTTCTCGGAAGTTGAAAGTACTAGTTACTCTCAGTAACTAGTACTTTTTTCATCCTTATCAATATCTGACAGAAGAGTAAGGAAAATCGGAAACAGCTTGTGGAAAATACTCAAAACCAAAATATTAGTTCCTCTTTGGGAAAAAGTTCGTGACAAACCAGCGCGAGAGGAGAAAGGAAATGGATGGATAGAGGCCGAATAAAAGAAAGAGCAATAAAAACCAAATAACGCAGTTATCGTTAATATTCAGCGAAAGAAAGCACCTCGCTGATAATTAGCTTCGCCGTCAGCTTTTGAGAACCCCAACTAAGATTTTTCTCTCTAAGAGAAAAAGCTCTAATTAGGCATAGCCAAACTTCAATAAGCTCCTAATCTTCTCTCTCAACCTCGTGAGAGCCAAGCCATGCTAATTATTTATTGCTTAAATTGCGAAGAGCTTCTATTGTTCGAAGCTCTTGGGTAGGAGTCTAACTTATTATTATTCGGTGCTCAAAAATTTTCGAAGAACATCTGGGGAGAAGATTTTCGTGCTTTACTTCTCACATCATTAAATAAACTTTTTTTTTATTATTATTTTTAACCTTCCACTCCCTTTTTCTTTTCAAAATCCTCGAAGGAAGACCGTAAATTGAAAGAAATGACAACTTGTTTTGAACGTCTTATTCTTTTAAGACTTTGTTTTTTTTAAGGAATTTTCTTTGTCGTGAAGCTATTATCATTTAAAATCAGGCTTTAAAATAGAATCTATTATTCAACTTTTGCGAAGATTTGTCGAGAAATATTTGACGAAAATTATAATTTATTTCTTTTTCAGTTTGAAGCTTTTATTCGCTGACGAATTTTTTATCTCTTTGAGAATGACATATCTGTCATAATTTCACGATGTTTAGAATGTAAAAATAAAAGGAGTTTATCACTCGATAAAATTTTTCTGATTTAAAACGTGCATATTTATTCTTTTCATAGTAGGATTTTTTTTAAAAAAACTGTGAATTTAGTTCCATTTTCAAGTAAATTTTCTTAAAAACTTAAAAGGCTTTTGTTTTCCGATTTTAATAGAGTGTTACTCAATATTTCAATATTTAAATTTTAAAAGTGGTTGAGCTAATTATTATAGAACTTAGTATAAGTTTCATAACGTGGGAAGTAGGTGGAAAACATTAGTATAGAATCCAATATTTAATATATTATTATCTATTACCCATTATTTTTTTCTCTTATTTAAATCTATTATTATTTCTCAGGGCTACATAGGTTTTAAGACATTAAAATACAATGTTTAAAAAATCTTTTAAATATGCAATTAAAAATCCTATAAATTGAAACTTGTATCGTCTTGTTAAGAAAATAAGTTTTGGTTATCATATAGAGCCGTGAGGCCTATCAAAATTGATATATACTAGTTCAGTGCAAATTAAAGTAAGGAGGGATAAATCTAAGGGTAAAGAGAAAGGCTCTATTGCACACTAAAGAGCTGTTTGCGTTAAGATCTTGAACTTTGAACACCGCGTGTATGGGTAAATCTAGCCCCCGTGATCCTATCGACCATACAATTAATTTAATTCATCCGTTCGGAAAAGAGGTTTGAAGAAAAAAAATCCTCATTAGTTTAACATCAGGAATCGTTGTAAAGTAAACGTTTGTGTTAAGATCTTGAAATTTCGGAAATCTGGTCTCCAATCCTAAAAATCGTACGAACTTCTGATTCGTCCATTCGGAAGAAGCGTTTTGAGAAAACAAATTCATATATTTAACATTAGATATTGTTAAAAATTAAGCTTCGTACGATTTTGTTTTTTTTAAATAAATTTGAACCTTAATCCATCATTCCCACATCTTCTGTTTTTTTTTTTTTTTTTGTATGCATCGTGTTTCCCAAATAATCCAGATAGACCTATGTTTTAATTCTTCTTTTCTTTTTCATGGTAAATGTTTTTGCATTAAATACATAATTGTTTTAATTAGAAAGATTTCTTTTAATTATTAATTTTCAAGTCAATCACATCGTTATTTTTTCATACATTTTCAAGTCCTTATTTGCTATTTTATGTTTATCCATATGGAAAAATAACAAAGAAAAGATTGAGATAACTTTAGATTCTTAGTTGTGTTGGCGGCTGCTTTTCAGTGTTGTGTTTTGCTACTTAGGCAGAACATCAGGGAAATATGTGACATGATTTCTACCAATTTATCAGTATTATACTTTTCGTTTATCTCGTACTGTAATGGTTATTCAGATACAGTTACAAATAGAAGTCATGTTTTGTTACAAATTTAAAAAAAAGGCAGAAGAGGAAACTACGTGTTCAGAATTACGATTATTTCAAGGACTTTGTTGAATATTTTAATTTCTAAATCCATCATAATATCGAACAAAACATTTCTGTATGAGTTTTTTCTTCTTCATCTATTTTTATTTTTTGAATGTAGTTCAACAAAAACAAAATCTGGTGTATAATGCTGGCACAACTTATGGTTAAAAGTACCAGCATTCAAGATGCCGGTACTTTTTAGCGTAAAATGCATTTTACCGACACATGTTAGGGAACAAAATAGTTCATATACCACAATAGCTAATTTTACTATAATAATTAACGTAGAATCCCTGAATCACTCTAATTAAATATTAAGGTATAACAATGGTAAAAATTGATTTTTCGGATGATGTCACTTTTTCCAGTAGTTTGGAATAGATTTTTTTATAGCAGCTAAATTCAAATGTTGCAAAGCCCGATGCCTGACAAGACAATTGCCCTGTTGTTGCAATTTAAATTTTAATCAAATAACCTAAAAAAATGTTTATGCCTTAAACTTTTGTTGATTAAGATTTTTTAGCAGAATGACATGCTAAGAATAATTTTATAATGTTAGCATTCGAAAATTTCTGGAAAGTAGCTGCTAGGGAAGGCAAATCAGTCAAAAATTTATCTAGTCATTACAATCATTGAGAGAAAATGAATTATTAACAAGTGAAAATTATTCATAACGCATTAGCCCATTTTCCAACTTTCTAATTAACTATTATAACTAAATGAGCAATCTGTCAAAAATTTCCTTCTCTGTTTCCTTAGGAATTCAAAGTATTCTTTATTTGGAATATAAATTGATTCTATAAAATTTAAAAGCATTTTATTAAAAGTATATTGGTATAATGAATAAGTAATAATAAACATATATTTTCCAACATACTATCTATTCTAAGAAATGGTTTTACTTTTATCGTAAAATAACTGAATTACTCTAAATAATCATTGTAAAAATAAAATGGATGGTAGGGATGATGCACCTAAAGATTGAAGCTTTAACGAATGAAATCAATATTTTTTGAATAAATAGTATAATTTATATATTAAATTAATATAATGATAACAACATGATAACTCGAAATGATAAAAAATACCCTTCTTCATTTGATTTATTTATTGATTCAAAAAATAGCGTACTTTTTTTAATTTATACCAACTTAAAATAAATGAGAATTCGTCTAATTTCAAAGAGTCATGTTTTTAATACGATTTCCGATTTCAAGTTTATTGTATTACTTATTATATTAATGTTCAATTACATACTATATTAATTTAAATCACTTACTATATTAATTTAAAGTTCAAATGTTTGTGGTAATAGAAGTTATTATATAAGTTATAATCGTATGAATTCATTTTATAGTTTAATGAAATTATTGAAGCAATTTTGTGTAGTACAAGTAATTTAAACCAATGTCCTAATTTGAAATATATTCTGATTTAAGTTTGCAGTATTTAGAAGATAATTACTCTTCCAATGTATAATATTCTATATCTCCGTAATATGTTCCCATCTACAGCTTTATTAGTCATTACTTTAAACCTTGATATATTTTACCAAACATATAGTATTCTAATACGTTTTTGAGGTAGAAAATAAGCATGACTATTTCTCATTTATCTTATAAATTCAAATTGATTTTGTCATATAAATAAAACTGCTGAAGGAACATTTAAAAGTTGAATAATGCATTAAAAAGTACTGAAAAAAATAATATCTAAGTACATTTTTTACGCACTTCTTTCATTAATTAAAAACATGATAGGTTATCATTTTGAACTTATTAAAATAAAAATTAGTTTTTTAAAAAAGTGATTAAGTGCAAAGCTTCATTATACATTCCGCTTTGATCGTGATATGCAAATAATTAATAATTAATATGAAACAAGTTTTCTGAAAGGAAAAATAAATCCGGTTTTGCTTGTAACAATGTCATATTATCACTTAATATCCTCGTTGTTCCTTTCCATTGACTTCATATTTTGTTTTTCTTTTGCAATTAATAATTGTCTCTTTAAAGCATGAAAAAAATGCATTTTCCTTTTCTTTTTTTTTTAGTCTTGTATCAGAATTTTGAAGCTCGTGTATATGATGAGTTTGTCATTAGGGGAAACATTGGAGTTTTACGATGTATTTTGCCAAGTCACGTGAGGGATTATGTTAAAGTGACTTCATGGAAACGAGATGATGGCTTAGTTATTTTACCTCAAAGAGTAAATGGTAAGCAAAATGTCCCTTTTTTCTTAATTTTGTTTAAAATACATTGTTATTAAGCGGATAGACGAAGATATTCTCGCGAGAATTAGCATATTAGACTATACTTAATGAAGTAAATTCTTTTTTAAAACTTATTATATTTTAATACACATTAAAGTTGCATTATAATATTCCTTTATTAAAAGAATATTTCAGAGTGCTTTGATTAAAAGTTCGACGAAAATTTAAAATATTAATTAGATCTGTGAAATATTTAATAGGAAAACGTAAAATAAGTTAATTAAATATATTTTATTTGGAAATGCAAATTAAAAAATAATGAAGAGACTTAAAGTATTTATAAAAAAAATTATACCTAAATATCCTTAGCTGGTATCAGAAAAGTTTCATATTAATTTAAACAGAATAATTTCATCTACTGGGACTCTAAGGAATATTTATAATTATTAAGAGTAGTTCCCTTTAAAGTAAGTAACTAACTGAAAAAATTTTTTTTTACAAATTTTGAATTTACATGGAAATCATTCATTAGAAATTAATAAATATTTATAACACAAATAGTTTAATATTTTTTTTGAGAAAATAAACAAATAATCTGAGCTAAACTCAAGGAAACGGTAATACTTTTGAAGGTATTTTTAATTAATACCTGCGAAAAGACTCAGATGTGGAAGAATATAAAATTAGGAAAAAATTTAAAATGTCTTAAAACTCATAAAATTAACAGCCATAAAACAGCTTTTTTACAGGTGATTAAATTAATTTAGGAATTTGTAATCATGTCGAGTAACTGAATAAAAACAAAGAAGTATTTTTTAATACTGTTTAATATTAGAGGAAGCGGCTGCCTTTATTTCCGTTAGGTCATCCGAAGATTAAAAAAAAATATTGAACCTTGACAAAAAAATAAATAGATCTCTTCGAAATATCTTTGATAGAATATTTACGTTTGATTTTAATACTCTTTCATTCCGTGATATAAGTCATGAGTTGATTACAGCTAATGATGTACCAGTCATGAGAAAATGCTTTTAAACTATTACACATTACAAATGAATTTATTTTTAGAAATTATTTATTTTCAGGGAATGATTTTTAGTACTTAATGATTTTTATACTTAATTAATTATTTCTGTTCCAGTACTGTGGGTTTAATTTAAAATATTTTGAATGTTTAATTTTATGTTTTATTTATTCGAAAATTTTATTATGAATAATCTCAATCTATGAGAATGAAGACAATATAAAATGGAAAGAAGTTGTAATGAATTTTTTAGTAAAAATCGAGGTAAATAAGGCAGCGTTTTGCAATATTAAAAGTAGAATTTTAAAAAAAACTCCAGTTCATTTATGTAAAAAAAATTTTTTTTTAAAAATTGTACTATGATATCTTTTTTGAAAATTTATTTATCTTCAAACTTATATCTTATAAGGGATTATAATTATTAAAAGATTAAAGATACACAAAGGATTCAAGAGAATAATTTTTTATACCAGGTCTTCAGCAAAATAAAACTTCTGTGAGTGTGATCTTCAGCGATTTTATAGCTAAAACCAATTTTTATTAGGTTCAACATTATTACGTTTTGACACAAAACATTCATAACTGCACTACAAAATTTTGATGTATAGTTGCCACCATTTTTCATGTTGAAGTAAATTATATTTTTGACATAATTTTTTCATTATTATAGTTTTATTTATTTATGAATCTTTTTTTACTGACAACATATATTTTCTTGCGCATTCGAATCAATTTAATTGCTTCATTGCGAAAGCATTTTGTTTAAGAAAATCATATTTTTATAAATATAATTGCACTAATTCTTTAAACGATTGATATTTTTGTCAATTTTATGAAATTTTTTGCACCATAACTACAGTTCTGTACTTAAAGTCTTTAGTTTACCTCAATACCAAAAATAGTAGGTAGTAACGATAAACCATTTTTTACAGTGTACCAAATAATCAATAGAACATTGAATTTAAAACTAGATTTGGTATTACAAATAAAATTAAAATTTTCCTTAATATTAAATTTTTCTTGGCAAAAAAATTCACTAAGCACCCGACTAGAAGAATGATGTATTGACTAATGTTCATATATTCAGGGAAGAGTTGTAATCATTACTCTATAATAATTATTTAGACAATAATCATTTGTATTAACTTTATCTTTTTTTTACTTTTTTTATGCTGGTCTTCAGAAATATATAATTTGTTTTAATAATCGAAAGCTAGGAAAAAATATTTTATTATAGTGGCCTAAATTTTTATATTCAATTATATTAGTGTTTGTTTGCAAAATAAATATGAAATTTATGTTTTTTTTAGAGAATGATCGATACATTGTATATCCAACTGGAGAGTTGCATATTAGATCTGTGGATTATACAGATAGCCACTTTCTTTACAAATGCCAAGTTCGAAATACTTTGACTCGACAGACTAAAGATAGCAATACTGGCGGTCGTCTGATAATTACAGGTAATTTCTTTACAATTAATTGTTTTAAAACTCATAAAAAATACTTATTTGTAGAAAGTGTGAATAAATCTGAGTCATGTCTTGATATACAGACTCTATCACTAAATAAACTTGTAAATTATTCTGGTTCAAAGTTTCAGAACATACAAGCCATCCGAAAAATCCATTATTACTGTAAAAAGTTCTATCACAATCTTTACGATAATAATTAATAAATTAGATTGATTCAAAGATAAAACGTTATATTAGAACTTAAGTGCCGTAACATTTCCTGTATGTTGATCTGAATTTTTTACAATTTTCTTACCACAGCCATAAATTGATAACCTATTTTTTATAGATATGGATTCCATGAATTTGCATTGAAGTGTCAATGGATTCGAAAAGGAAGTGCCGTCAGTATTCATCCGAATATTTAAAATTCGGTTTTATCGCGTCATTGCAAAATGTGCAGTTTCTATATTATCTTTTAACCGACCTGGTGGCCGAGTGGTTAGCGTGCCTGACTGCGGAACCGCTGGTCGCGGGTTCGAAGCCTGCTCAGGGCATGGATGTTTCTTTCTTTCTCTCTCTCTCTCTCTCTCTGTATTCTATGTCCATTCTCCTTTGAGTGTGATTGTGTGAATGTGACCCGGCCTATAAACGGGTTGTGGTTGTGTGGCGACGCTGCTCCACTGCCGTGGCATCGCCACAGGTGCTCACTGGGAAACGAGAAAAGAGTAGTAGTTATGGCATTCCTGTGGCCAATGGGACAACCCCCGTGTGCCCACCATTAAAAAAATATATTGCATTTTGTGTGATAAAACATTTATTAGTAATGAGGCGATGAAACCCTTGCGAATGAGAGACCATTTATCGAGATTACATAGTGATAAAGTAAGCAAACCCCTAAGTTATTTTCAAGATCTGAAATCTAAATTTGAAAAGTGGTTATGAAAAGTGGTTTAAATGAACTATTTAAAAACCAAGCAACCGATCTTGACAAAGGTCTTCTTGCTTCCTACGAAGTTTCTATATTGATTGCTAACTGTGGTAAATATCACACAATTGGCGAGACTCTTATTTTACCTGCTACTAAAAGAATTGTTGAAATCATGTAGGGTGAGGGATTGAGCAATAAGATAAGTCACTCTGTACCTCTGAGCAATATTACGCTTTCCAGGAGTATTGATGAGATGGCCGCAGACATTGAATCAAAACTCATCAAATTTTTGAAAGAAGGTAAATTTGCTTTGCAGATTGATGAGTCAACTGTGATAGATAACAAAGCTATTATATTAGCTTACGTGACATTCATAAATGAGAGTAAGGAGATTAACGGGGAAATGTTGTTTATAAGAACTCTGATCACTGATACAAAAGGATCGTCGATTTTTAAATTGGTCAAAGATTATTTTGAGGAAAAAGAAGTTCCCCTTACAAATGTAAGTGCTTGTGCAACAGATGGTGCTCCTGCCATGTCTGATTATCATACTGGCTTCCTGGCACACCTTAAAATAGAAGTACCGGAGGTCATCGCCATTCATTGTGTCATTCATCGTCAACATTTGGCTGCAAAAAAATTGAGTGGTGCCCTGCATGACACTTTACAATTCGTTATTTCTGGCATCAATAAAATCAAAGCTAATTCTCTCAATGACCTTATGTTCCGAGAACTTTGCCATGAAAATGATGAAGACTTCGAACGCTTGCTCCTACATACAGCTGTGAGATGGCTTTCAAAAGGAAACTGTCTGCGCCGTTTCTCCGAATAGTTTGACTCGGTTACTGATTTTCTCTACACCACTGATCCTGTTTTAAGTGAGAGTTTGAAGCAACGCAAGTTGGAAACTGCGTATCTCACGGATATTTTTGAAAAAAATGAAAGAAATCAACGTGAAACTTCAAGGAAATAAAATGGACACTATAAAGGCTAAGGGAATCATATCTTCATTCATCGCCAAGTTTGATATCCACAATTCAAACATTGGTAGTAAAGAGGTAATGCAATTTCCAACTCTTAAAAAGTGTTCAATGGCAGCTATCGAGATTCTCGAAAATAAAATCTTAATTTTTACTGTTCACCTTGATCAGTTAAAAACTGATATGGAATCGCGATTTAACGACTTGATGAAATCAGAAATTCTGGATTGGATTTTCGATCCTTTCTCTTCTGAAATTGTTGATAAGCTCACTTCCTCTTTGCAGACAGAGTTTTTAGATTTGAAGTATGACTGTGAGACTAAAATCGTCTTTAAGAAATATGGTTGCGAGTTAGCTTGGGTAACGCTTATGGACACTTATCCACTATTGTGGAAACAAACTGAGCCGCTCCTCATCTTGTGCCCGTCAACATATTTAGAAAGAGGATTTAGATCTGTCGTCTATCTGCTCACAAAGCAAAGAAATAGGTTGGACATTTGCTTCAAAGGAGACCTGCGTTTAAATCTGACGAACATAAAACCTGACAACCAAGCTTTAACTGAAATACACCAAGCACAGGGCAGTCATTGAAGTGGTAAAAATGTACTTTCTCACTCTTCATTTTTTTCTCAAATTTTAGTTGTTAACGTTTTAACTTTTTCTTGATTACATTGAAATATGAATTTTAAAAAAATGTACTTTTGTTTTGATTATTCCGTTTTAAATATCATTTCTTTTTAAGAAAAAAAGATGCACATTTTTTTTAATTAATAAAAATGACAGTATGAAATTGCCTCCTTATTTGCATTACAATTTAAATTAATTATATTTTCTGTGTTTGGTTGTTCGCAAGCAACAATGAATAGTTTTTGAGCAAGAAGAGAAAGGGGCGATATGTGTCAGTCAACCCCAAGAGGGGTGTAATGGTCCGCAAAAGGTTAAGAACCACTGGACTACACCGACGCATATACAATTCCCTTACATATGCTTTTGATTTCTGCCCAACCGACAAATCCTCGCACAATGAGATCCTCCAGTTTGGCCACAGTCATTTTGGTAGGACAAACTTCAAAATACCTCCACCTATAGTCTGCCTAAATTTAGAACCCACCCCTAATCTTAAACTTCACAGTATGCTTTGCTACCCTCACTTTTGTCAGGTTTTTATCATCTGGATGCCTTTATAAGCTCTCTAGATTAGTCGGTAAAACCTTGAAGAACCGTGAATGAGTATGAAATAATCTATTGCTAAGGTGAGTAATTTATAACTGAAGTGATGTAGTAAAGCTTTAAGTAATTAAGTTTAAACAATTCAATAACTTACTATGAAATGAAAAGCATTCAAAATTTTAATATATATATATANTATATATATATATATAACACTCAACTGCCGTTATAGAAAAAAAAAGTATTTTTTTATTACCATTAATGACAAATTTTCTTTTTAAAAAGAAAAGGTATTTTATGCAAATATTTGCTGAACTTATATCTTTTTTTGGAAAGACCTTAAGTCATTTCTTATGTTTTCAAACCTTTTGTTTTTAAATTTACTTCCAAAATTATTCTGTAGAAAAGATTTATTCGTATTTATTTTTTCGCCACCTCCGCAAGAAAGGAAATAAAATTTTATAAGAAATATGGAAAAAAAATGTATGCAATATAAAATGGAAAAAGTTCAAACGAAAAAAATAAATATACGGAATGAAAAATCTCGCTATCGCTCGCGAGCATCTACAAACTATATCGTTGTGGAGGAAAATATCCACTAATCACTTGTTTATACTTAAGCGATAAGGAAGAATAAAAATATCTGGAGAGAAAAATTTCTTCTGAAAACTAGCAAACAAAAACTTCAATTTTCTGTTCAAGAATGCGAGTATCTAGAAAATTTTATGGTAATGACTTCTTGCCAGTCTCCATCCAAAACTGCGCCAAGTCGCTGAACTGCATCATTAGGGATACTGATTGCACCAGGTGGCGCTCTACTTCCGTTGCCAGGTTAAGGAATAAAACTTTTCCGGAAATATGATTTACTCTTCAGTACGGCGGCTTAGCTAGAATTGTGTTTGGGGAAGTTGTTACATTCTTCGTTTTGCTGGGGAGAAGTTTTCAGTTAAAGAATGCCGAAAGAGAACAGGAGTGAATGGAAGTGTGAGTGTTGTAGGCGGAACTGTATCTTCCAAACTGTTGGAATTCGAAAAGTGAGAAAAGTTTACCGCTTAATAATGAAATACCTTAAGGATTAGAACAAAGTAAAAGGAGAAAAAAGAAACTGTATCTACTGCATTGAAAACTCTGATTTCAGAACTATGCTTTTGTTTTCTTACAAAAAAAGTTTCAATCTTGATACAATTCTAATATTTATTGCTGTATTTATCAGCTACAATTGAGACATTAACGGAATAATTTTTACGCATATTAGTTTAAGGATTTTCAATGATTAAGAAACATATTGTATAACCAGAATGTATACGTTGATAAACATGTATCTAAATAAAATTAGAAAACGAAAACATTTTTAGTTTTTGAGTTTCATATCATTTGTCGAAATCAAAGCAATTGCCATCAAAAGTTTCTGCTATAAAGTATAAATTCCTGACCTTTTCTTAATTCTCGTTATTATTTTTGCTATTATTATTATTATTAGTTTTAAAATAATGAGCCGATAGCCCTTTTCTTTAATTATTATTTGTAGTTTAACAATGATGATTTATTGTTGCGCGATTCGTAGTGTACAAATATTTTTCTAAAATTTTGAAGTTTACACAAAACACGAGAGAAATAATGATGAGTGATCACGCTCATACTTCATGTTTAGTAAATAATTCTTTGATAGTGGTTTACTTTCAATAGCATTACGAGAAGAACTAAGATTTCTGTTATAAATATAAGAAAAATTCTAAATTCTGCTTTGGGTGAAACGACATGGACACGACTGAACTAAATTGTAACCATATGTATATAGGCTTGACAATTGCCTAAATAAGCTGACGAAACATCTCTACTCTAGTCAATCTTTAAGCACAACTACTTCCCTGAAAAATGAACACATCATTTACGTTAGAAAACATACAAAATTTCATTATACGGAACACATAGTTCATATATTATATCATAGAACATATAGTATCATAGAAAACATATAGTATATCACAGTTGCCTTGACAATGAAAAATTAAGGAAAAGTATATTTTGATATTTAACTAAACATCTGATATTTAACTTCAATGATTTTGTGAAGAGAGGTGCTTTTGCTGTACTTATCAGAATGTCACTTGTTGATTAATGTTTATTGTTTTGACTATAAACTAAAATTTTTAACATCATTAGCAGCCTTAGACTGACTAACTAGATTTTAAAACTATATTTTAATTTTTAAGTGTCTGTCAAATATAATAATAATTTTATAATATTTCATCTTCTATTATTTTACACCAAACTCGATTTCGTCTTAAAATTAAAATAAATATCTAACTAATCATAAAAATCTAAAAAAAAAAAAAAAAAACTTTTAAAAATTAGGGTTTTCAAGTGGATTAAAAATTATAAAATAATTCTATTTTGGACGAAGTAGTGTGCAATGTTTTCGAAATTCTAAGAAATTAGACTTAGAAACATGGGAATGTTTGGTGATGAGAAGTTCATTACCAGATTTATACATTGTACTTTCGAAATACGAACTAAAGAGTGTTAATTTCAAAAGTTTTAGGCAACCTACTTTAACTTCTTATTAATTTTCCCTGATATGCGAGAATGAGAGCAATTTTTTATCAGCTTGAATATATATATTTTTTTATATTTTTATTTTAGCTTTCGTTCCTTAAGTTTTGAGACTATTAATTTGCTTTTTCTGAAATAGGAGGAAAATTTTAATTTGCTTTAAAAAAAATTATCATTATTTGTAACATTTATTAAAACACAACTGTAACACAGCACTGCGATTGAAATTTGAATTTTGTAACTAGTTTCAAAATGGTCGGGATTCCATTTGATGATAAGTTTCCCTTGGTGATAATAAAGCGATAAATTTTGCTTGTAGTGTTCAGGAAATGATTTAAACTTGTATTGCTATCCATACAGAACAGAGCTCAAGTGATATTGAATTTCTCCAGTTTAGTTTGACTACTAATAATTGAAGGTTTGGGGATAACTTCTTGAAACTTATAATGTCATAGAATTAAATTTCAACATAGATGCGTTGATATAACATTTAATCATCCGAAGTTAAATTTGAGTACAAGCTTTTTAAGTAGCTGTTAGTTTCTTTACTGTCAAACGAATGCAAAACTTTAGTTTTTGATACACAATTTTTCACTACTTAGTGTAGAGTAGTTGCTGCCTTTTTTAGCCATTCGGTAACACGAAAATTTATAAATACAGTTAGATATGATACATATTTGAGTTCCTTAAGTTATTTTTACGATTAAATATAAAGTAAGAATCGTTAATTTAGGACGCATTTAAACATTTCTTGAAATGAAATTAGTCTGTTTATGAAACATGTTCAAAGCACAGACAGAATATTAAGACGAATTCGAACTAGGCTTTTCAAAACAGAAACAACATATTACGTATTCTAAAATTACTTAATGCCGTTTGGAGACAGTGAAAAAATATAATTATAATTATAAAAATTATTAACACAACAGCTTGTTCTGGGCCTGGGGGTAATGGAGGATAATCCTCCGCAAATTCATGACCAACATGCTCAGAGGCCGCCTTTACTTCCCAGACAGGCTGGTACCCGTTGATATGAAGCTGGATGGGCTTCAGACCACCACTGGGATCGAAACACAACTTGTCACAATGAAAGCCCAGTACTTTAAGCTCTGTACATTTCTTAACAGTGGAAGGAAAGGTACTTATGACTGTGGAACTTATGTTATTGAAGAAACTTATGACTGCCATGAGCTGTAAGAGACCAATAGTATCCTGAAGAACAATACTAAGCTGTAATATTTATTGTGATAAGTTGGACTTCTAGAAATGTGCTTTTCTTAATTCGAATAACTTTAAAGAGACCAAAAAGTAATCTGTATTAAAAATTCATATAAGTTTAGCTTTATAGGCTATTTAGCTATTTTTTAGTTATTAGCTAAATTTAATTATTATTCACTCTTTTTATGCCGTTCAAAGAGCGAGTATTCAATTACTAAAGGAATAAATATTAAATTGAAAATAATTATAGGTAGTGATGAAAACGAAATTTGTGTTTAGATTGATTCACAACAGCTTAACTGTTGTAAACAATACCATGAACGTTAAATATTTCTTTGAAAATTAAGTTAATTACTTTGTGTGAGTTGTAAATTTAAATTATACGATATTAGAATTTTAATCTGAAATTATGATAAAAACAACCGACAGTGGTCTGTCCATCCAATTAAGCTCAAAGTTTACGGTATATAACATATTTTACCTTTATGGTATCAAACCGTACAAAATTGTATTGTTTTTTGAACCATTTACTATTAGCATGGTTTCAAAAATTGTAAAAAGAATTTAACCGGGCATTGGAACAAAGCTTTCAGTTTCGTAATGGGTATTGCAGAGTGGAGGACATTGGAAACTTCACGAGTTGACGGGAATGGGGGAAATGTTATGGTGTCAATACAGGGATTCGAATCCCAGTTCTGGCAGACTAGCCCTCTCGACTATAATATGTGCCCAACTGCAAGAAACTTGGTGATTTTATTAGTTGGTCTTAGTTGCTGAAACAAAATAATAAATGATAATGGATAAAGGTTATAATAATAAATATAATGGAATACAGGATAAGGATAAATGATAATAATGTATAAGGTTAATAAAGGCTTTTTTCTCACAGTGTGAATACCCTCCTATTTATGGTTATTTGATGGCTTTGTTTGAATACGATTAAATAAAAATTAAATAAATTGTTATTTAGCCATTTTTTTTCTAATGAATTTTTAACAGTGTATTTAACATATTAATACAATCAATATTCCTTTATTTGCATTAGAACGAGGTTCCGATTGAATTCTTAATAGTTTATTTCAAGATATTTGCAAAAATTTTACAAACTTCTGAAAAATGTATTTTTCTTAAACAAACCGAAGAATGTAAAATATTTTGCTCACATTTTCGGGAAAAAAAATGCACATCAGCATTATGCAGAATAGCAGAAGTCATAAAACAGTAACGGGTCCTGGAACGATATCAACAAATACATTTTTCGGTTTTCCCGGGAATGTTTTTCGCTCTTACGACGGTACGGATTATGGGAGTCATCACAATTTCTTCTTTCTGACATTACAGGTTTCTTTATTATGCTGGGGGTCCCGTAATGTTCTTCCAGGATAATCCAAAAATAAAATAATAGCAGAGGAATTTAAATAACGTTTTCGTTATGTCTTTAACTGTCAAACTATGTTAAACGAATTGGGAGGAGAGACATTCTATTTGGATTGCAGTTTCTTACATGTAGTATTTCAAGATAAAATTCTAAATATTTTTGTTTAGAAATTAAATTGTTTAAGTGAAATGGCTTTTTGTATGTGTTTTTGTATAGACTGAATTAATAGCTTGTTTAGAGGAAAGATTTTGTTTCTAATTCTACACTGAGAAAAAATTGGGTCAAAACTACTAGAATATTTTACGATTTAAGACGTTTCTCTAAGGGCACACTAAAAAGGTTGGTAGACAATATGAGAAGAAATGTGGTAAAGCTTGTTAAGTTTATCATGATACCTTAGAGCATGGCAAAAAAACCATTTATTTGATCAAATTTACGTTTCAGTTTTGTATTTTTTATTGAATACGTAGTAATAGGACCTATAATTTTGAAAACCAGAATCTCAGGTTAAACCGTTACCATATGAGCGGAAAAATTACCAAATGAATAGCTATACCGTATATTTTTTATTTATTAATTTAAATTATGTTTTTTAACCGTTAATTTCATTACTGTACATTACCATAATTTTACCAGCATTATTTTTTGTGTATTTACCTGGGTCTTATATTACATCCGGAAATTACTTATTTAAGCAGTTTTGGAAATTTGTATATAATTTACCATTTCAAAATAAATTTGATACTGATCAATATGTATATACTACCTTTATAATTTCATTATACTGCGTGATTTGTTATAATCATCATTATGATTACGAAATTCTTAACAAAAGTTAAGCAAATTGTAATATAGTATATATATATATATATATATATCCATAAATCAGTCATATATATATATATATATTCACTATCATTTCTGGT